ACTAGCTGTGCTTCAAGATTGTTTTGAAAGAAGGTATCCAATTTCAGTTCCCAAGACATGCACTTCCTAAGTTCAGCTTCAGGGATTTAGACATTGCCAATTCACACTCTATTTCTAGAACATAATTTTTATCTTTCAAGAACAATTGTAATTGCCCTATGCAAACTGCCCCCACCGAGGTACCTCTGCACATTCAGAAAGTAGCTGTTTCCTGCTCACTCACCACCAAGGCAACTGGTCTTTTAATGGAAAGCAGACATCAGCCCCAAATGAATGCTTCCACTCTTGGCACTCCCTGGAGTGCAGTGGGTCATCCCAGGGAAGTTTCTACCATCCTCTTGAAAACAATAAACCAAGGCTCTTTTTTTCTTTTTGTGACAATGTTTCAGATTTTTGCATCTTGTCTCTTCCTAGGTACCCTTCAACTATTCAATGGTTTCTCTCTTTTTTTAGAGAGATTTTTGCTATAGGGCGCATGAGCTCACTGGAGAGACAGAAGAGAGACAGGCAGAGAGACAGAAAGAGAGAGAAAGAGAAACAGAAAGTGAGAAAGCACCTCCCCAGCCATAGTCACGCCACAATCCCTTTTCTTCAATTCCTCCCTCCTTTCAGGATTTTGGGCACACACATACACTGACCTGCGTGTTCTTTTAAGCCTCAGGATCTAGAACTATGCAGTCAGCCATGTGGAACGCAGCCACCTTAACCACCATGCCACCATGGCTTCACTGGTTTTCACTTAGCAAGTGACCAAGTCAGTTACTGCCCTGCTTCCCCTCACCACCCTCGCCCCCATCTAGTTATCTGATTTTTTTTTTTACTTTGATGCAAGTAGTTTGATTGTATCGGGTTGTCAGAAAAGTCATAAAGCATTTTGCATAGAAAAAATACATCATGATTCTTTTGACAACCCAAAATTAGCAATTGCTTCTAGCTTAAGGTTATATATACATAAATTTCTAAGCATGGTTTCTATATAATCTATAAATACATTAAGGTATCAACAGTACTTATAAAACAGGAATCATTAATCGAGCCAGGAGTTGACAGGAAATGGGTGATGAGAAGATGTTTCTGATAATTCTGATAAAATTGCCAAAGTATCTGAAAATATTTCCAAGGTGTTATTTCAAGCCATGTTAAAGAACACAGGATATAAGTTCGCCAGAATAAAGAATTTTAACTTGTAAAAATATTTATTTATCTATTTATTTGTTGAGGTTTTCAAGCTGCCAGGTCCAGAACTCAAACCACATATGGGAATTCAACACTCTAACCATCATGCCACCTGCTTGCCCCTAGGAATTTCAGTTTTTTACAAACTGGCTAGCAAGTTTTATGACCAATAACTTTTACGTCATAAGCGACAAGAAATATTCCATAAATTCTTGTCTTTTTTTCTTGTTTGCTAGTCAAACCTCTTGAGCTCTCTGTGTCCTGTCACCAGTCAGTTCCTATTTCGTCACTTGTTAGCGTTCTCAGACAGTTTTGGGAGAGGTGTACCTGCATTCAGTTTGCTTTGTCATTTGCTAAAAACTGTAAGAAATGAGGGAGGAGATTAATATTACTGGCTTGTTTTAACTTCCATCACAATGACCTGACTTTGTATTAACAAAGTTATCACATCTTTCACAGTCAGGAGGAGCAGGGGGTAAATAGCAAGAAACCGTGGTTCAGTCAAAGGGGGGGTGGGGGGATTTATAGAAGGAGGCCAGAGAACTGGATGTATTTTGTAAACTTAAATGTTTCGAGATGTAATTCCAAAAATCCTGCTTACTTTGGCTTCCTTTTATCATTAAACAGGCAGTTCTTTGTACCTTGAAAGAGACACACAGACTGCAAAGAGTCATCTGAACTGCCCAGAAATGTCTTTAATCTTGACCATTTTCAAACACAGATCTCCATGGAGTACAATTTTCTGAGGAATTCTTACAATGCAGAGTCTGTTCAGAGGATGCTGATTTGAAAACCCTGCTGTACCCAGGGCATAATGAAAACGGCAAGAAAGTGCGCAGCTTCGGGTAACTTAATAAAAAGAAAGAAAATTTGACAGGAAATGAAAGACTACCCAAGTTGAAAGCATGTAGCAGGCGATGCTTCAGAATGAAATGTAATTCTTCCAGGTCTAAGAGACCAGTGCTTGCCCTCAAGCACTGCAGAGGATGCCAGCTTCTAGTTGCATAAATACGTGGAAATAAAAGAAGATGCTTGTGGAGTAGACTTACTAAAATTGCAGGTCAGAGACTTTCAGTCATTTTTCACCAGTGATTTAATTTTTATGATTTTCCATAAATTTGTATTTTCTTATATAATGGTAGAACAAGCCAGATGAGTAGACCAAAAAAATTTAGTTGGACTAATATAGTAAATTCCAGCAGTGGTAGGATAAATGCTATTGCAAACCCACAGACGTATAGAAATAAGCACAGAGGCTCTGAAAGTAATCAAACCACAGTGGTAGTGCTTCTGGCCTAATTTTAGAACTTGATAGACAGGATATGTAAAAACCGTCTCTGTATGCTATCAAGCACTTATATTTTTATTGTTTATTTATTTTTGTGTGTGTGTGAGAGAGAGGTTTTTGCTATAGGGTGCATGCACTTGCCAGAAAGACAGAGACAGAGAGACAGAAAGTGAGAAATCAACCCCGGGGGGGATGGTAACGCCACAATCCCTTCTCCCCTATTCTCCTCTCGGGATCTTGGGCACGCACGCACACGCGCCCGGCGTGAGTTTAAGCCACCGGGTCCAGGATTCAAACTGCGGTCAACTACATGGGAGTCCAGCGACATAGCCATTACACTAACTGCTGGTCCCATATTTTAAAACATTATATTTTAGATAATGACATCTTGCTTACTTAGCCTAAAATGTAATCTGATTATTTCCATGATTGTGTGGGCTTAAAAATGCCTGGCTGTTAATGCAGGGTTAGCTCTTTACTGAAATCCTAATCTAATCCCATATTTACACAGAGATGGACCATCTGAAGTCACTGTGTGAAAGCAGCAATGGCAACAACAGGAACTGGAATGGGGTAAGAGACATACTCTCTGGTGGACCCCGCTCTCCCAGCCTGTAGGCTGTTGTAAACAGCAATGGGCTGGCCGCAAAGGGCAGTGGCAGGGACCTCGCTCGGCATTAAAACAGAGATGGCTCTTGGGCCTGTGACCTGTGCAGTCACACAGGCTGGGCACTTAGAAAGGCTCTGTGACTGGTTTATTGCTCTGCTGGCACCATTTTTAAATTCTTAGTCTTTTTTTTTTTTATCAAAAGGGTCTGTATTTTCATCGTAAACTGGTCTGGGCAAATTACATAGCCAGTCTCAGCTTTAGAATAATTTGGATGTTTGCTTCCTCTGAGAAACAGGGATGAAGTTTACCTGTAGTTAGGTGTGAGCCCAGGAGTGAGCATTCTTAGAAGGAAGTGCCTGCTCTCCTGCGGTTTGTTCATCAGCTGGGCTGGTCTGAGCTCTGGGGAACCAGGCTGGGTCTCTAAGGAAAACCCTGCAGAGTCAAATTTGCCTTTCAGCAGCAGTACCATCCTGCAGCAACCTCTGTGTTACTACAGGTGTGGCCAGATTTCCGTTCTGCTCATTCCACTGGAGGTGTGTATGTAACACACACACACACACACACACACACACGGCTCCAACCTGACCCTACCTGGTGGGTAGCCTGGTCCCTGAGGATGTTTTCTTCCAGAATGGACAAAAGACAGGTGAAAGGAGGACAGATGGGTTAGGAAAAGATACTATCAATCAGAGGTCAAGAATGACTCAGAAGTGGAACCAGCAGTTAGCATAATGGCTATGTTGCTGGACTCCCATGTAGTCGACCACAGTTCGCGTCCAGGACCTGGTGGCTTAAACCCCACGCCGGGTGCGTGTGCGTGCGTGCCCAAGATCCAGAGAGGAGAATGGAGGAGAAGGGATTGCGGCGTGACCATCCCCCCTGGGGGGTGATTTCTCGCTTTCTGTCTTTCTGTCTGGCGAGCGCACGCGCCCTATAGCGAAAAACCTCTCCAAAAAAAAAGAATGACTCAGAAGAGAACTTATGCTACTCCATGTTGAAATGTTGATCAGCTTCCCTGAGCCTCAGTTTTCTGTGAATGGAACGGGCAGAGCCCTTTCTATCCCTACTACAGCTTTGCCGAGAGGACAGAGTAACTATGCAAGACTGCATAGTCCTGGAGCTCAGGGTTAGCATTCAATCATTCATTCATTCATTTAGAGAGAGATTTTTGCTATATGGGCCCTGGGCTCACCAGAGAGACAGAAAGGGAGAAATCACCCCCCACCACCATACGGGGTGGCGGGGGTGGGGGATGGCGCCGCAATCCCTTTGGCACACGCAGCGGGTGCGAGTTTCAAGCCACTGCTCCGGGACTCAAACCACGGTCTGCTACAACGTAACAATTATGCCAACTGGTGGTCCCCAGGGTTAGCACCTATTAAATAGCGGGTATTACCATGTGGGTCACGGGGCTGATGATACCTATAGTTCATCCCCACTTCCCCGCACCCAAAAACATCACCTCCCAGAAAAACACTTGTCGCGACCCAAGCTAGGAAGGCAGGTCCACGAGCTAGGTTAAGACACGTGCCTCGAAACTGTTCCTGTGGGCCTGATGTCCACGCTTCTCTCCAAAACCTCCACCTGTGGCCCGACTCTGCGCCAGGTTCTCTGGGGGATCTGCGCAGCACAGAGAGGGTCTCACCCGCTAAGCAGCTGCCGCAGGAGGGGGCGGGCCCGGCCCTCCGTCCGCCCCACGTCGGGCTCTGGGTGGGGGCTCCGGCCTATTACCGGATGGAAACTCTGGGTGTCGGGGGCGGGAGGGGAAGAAGGAGAGAGGGAGGCGCGGTGAAAGGCGCATTGATGCAGACCACATCCCGGCCGGCCGGCCCCCCCTCCGC